TTCCAAACTGAGAAATAACATATTTTTCAAAAAATAATCAGAGGTCAAAGCCACAACCAGGCCTAGGCCTTTGAACTCTTTTTATTTTATTTATTACTTTAATTTTTCAGAAAGCATTCTTAATAATATGTGGTTACAATTGAGTCTCTACACATGTGCTCCATGGCCTTTGATGAGACCCATTTGGCACTCACTAATACAATTTGTAACATACTCAAGATCACACTGGCATACAGAGAGAAAGAGAGCTGCATATACACAGAGAGAGCCATGCAGCATAATATGAAAAAATGTCCCTAGCGTGGACAAATGCATTATTGAACTTGCACTTGGGCTACAGTGTAAATAAAGTTAACCTTTAAATATATGGTTCTTTATGGTTGTATACATACAGATATAGACATACTCTTGACGCAACAATTTAAAAAAAATGCAAGTATATCGCCCGTAGACTGATAATTAAGTAGTAAGCCATGAAAGGCCTTGTGTTACTGCAATTTTTTCATGAGGAAGTGTTTTTTAGGAACGACGGGAAGCGGCGTAAAAGAACCTGGTTGTCCATCTTTGCATATTCTGGTCATTTCATGAACTTTCTAGCTTTTTGTTGTCTAATAATGAATATATCATAACAGAAAACTGTTTGATGCAAAAACCTTTGCTTTATAAGTACTTTTTGGTCACCAAATTACCAGCACAAGACTTATTTAGCACAAGCTAATGGTGCCCCTCTTCCCACGCTGGTGCTGAATCTCAAACAGCCTCCAGCCTTCTACATAGTGCACCACATAGGTCTTTAAATACTGGCTCATCCACCCCAACAGTGCATAATATGGCAAACAAATAGCCATTTGGGATTCAGCCGACAAAAAATGCATCTGGCTATAGAAGCTAGAATTTCAAAACTTCTATAGCAAACTAACTATGGAGCTATTTGAGATTTTGCCTGGGTTTGACGCTACTTAAGGCAGATCTGACTGAAACACAGATATTTGAAACGTGAAAGTCATTCAAGTGACATTCTTTAACATTTTAGAGTGATGTTTTACAGTGAATCATTTCACATGTATTTTAATTCAAGTGTGTGATATTAATGATGGAGTTGTTTAACATGTTTGCTATCTTTTAGCCTGTTAGATAGCTGACCTGCCTAATTCTAGTTGAGAAAATAAGTTGTCAGCCCCCTGACTTAAACAAAAAGGGTTTTAACTTCATCACTACTCTTGGTGGTCCATGCAAGCAGCATTACAATCATAATTTATTCCATTAAAAGCACAATGCTTTTCGTTACATGGCGCAGTAATACTGAATTCAGTTGTTGTGAGGTGGTCAGAAGTGTTCTTATATTGAGTATTTTAAAACAGCTTTGAACGCAGCTTAGCGAATCAGAGTTTAGGACCAGAACTATGAGTTTTATCTATTTTCAATCCAAAACAACCTGGCCTGGTACCGGAGAACTTTAAGCCATATTACAGTTTTATATGTGTTATAACTTTATTTATTCAATCATTTAATCTTTTAATCATTGTTTAAATGTTTGCGTGTATCATATATGTATTCAGAGCAATACCAGAAAATCAGTCTTGTGATCACATGTGTTGCTGATGGAAAATAACAAACAGTGGAAAAGAAAAGCTAATTTGATTTGCAAGTTTTCATTCTTTGCCTCTTGACAGCTACACACACTCTCAGACTCATACAATTTAGTTTTCTTCTCACAGTGGACAGAAAAGATGGACAGGAAAGATGGACAGAAACATCTGTGAATTTTCCAGATCTGAGATGAGAGTGGAGTGGATTAGATTAAAATGGTGTGTAATAGAGCAAACCCAAAATCTAGAATAAACCCAAAAATATACAGCACAGTACTCTGGTACCAGGATCGGGAAAGACTGTTAATTTCAAGAAACATACACTCCACAGAATGGCACCAATAAAACATAGGTCTCAATAACAAAAAGTGAAGCATTGCATGCCTTTTGAATAAACTTTTATAAAACAAGTTGGATTTCAAGAAAGAATAAATTCCCCCTTTCCCCTCCGAAAATAAACATTCAGTCCTCTCACATACATTTTGAGGGTATGATTAAAAGTCAGGTTAGGTGCAGTCTCCAAAATAAACCATTGAGGGCGCTCTCTTAGCATGTAGAAGTATTCAACATACACATAATGAAGGGACTTTCCACACCTTTTTACTTTGCGTTACACCTTTGGGAATATCAAAGTCACACCAGGGAACTGACAGGCCATCCTATTGAATACACATCACAGTAGTTTAGTTTATCATTCTTGTAATGGGTGAACTTGTTTAAATGATGAAGAGATGAACTGGATCAAAGATGAATTCGAAGAGGCAGTAAAATACAATGTATTTGGGAAAGCATAAAATTAAGCATTCATCAGTATACATTTCTAAAAGTCAGAGGCTGTCAAATACATCATAATAGATTAGTGTCAATACAAAGCTAATATTGAAATGGCAGTGCTAAATAAAAATACTAGATTTTTTTTTCTACAGAAGAGAAATTGTCACGTTACAACCATAACTTCATAATGAACGCATGAACATTATAAGTCCTCAAATGAACCCTGAGCAGGACTGAAGCTTTTCTCTTTTTGAGCTATGTACTCTGTATCTGGTTTGGCAGGTGGTGTATGTCTAATTGTAGATTAAACTATTAGCAGCTAATGTATGTGTGTGTGTGTGTGTGTGTGTGTGCGTGTGCATGTGTATGTGTGTGTGTGTGAGAGAGAGAGAGGGAGGAACAGAGAAAAAGACAGAGAGAGAGAGAGACAGAGAGAGAACAAAGTCTCAGAGATCCTATTTCTCAAACTGTAAGCTAAACCCCACTCCTCAGTAGACATCAGGTTTGGCTTTGGCATGTCACCACTCACAGCTGAATCTGATGCTACAGCAAACATGTGGAAGAACAAAATGAAAAAGTGAAAAGAAAGTGAAAGAGGATTTTCCAGAGTGGTAGAGTCAAGTGCACATAGATGGCACGGCCATACGCTTTTTGTAATAGATGCACCCAGCTCAGCTTTAAAAAGGAGTCAAATAATTCATTAGTGTTCAACAGCACATAGACTCACTAACCACTAGCTATTAGTTACATTGTTTCTACACTCATTCTTAGTGTTTGTTTTATCAGGTCCACTTACCATTTATTTGCACTTTGTAGTTCTACCATTATAAATTGTAAAACCTTGTTTCCGAAAAAGCTGAGATGCTGTATAAAACATGAATGAAACAGAATGCTGATGTGCAATGATGTGCGAATCATTTAAACCCATATTTAATTAAAAATAGTACAAAGGCAACATATCACATGTTAAAACTGAGAAATGTTATTGATGTTTGAAAAATATATGCCCATTTTGAATTCGATGCGAGCAACACACCTTTTTTTAACAGAACTCAGGAACTATGGAGACGAATTGCTGTAAATTTAAAAGTGAAATATTTTGCCATTCTTGCTTGATAAAGGATTTCAGCTGCTCAACAGTCTCCTTTGTCATATTTTTATTTTTATAATGCGGCAAATGTTTTTAATGAGTAACAAGCCTATACGGCAAACAGGCCAGTTTAGCACCGGACTCCTTTACTAAGGAGCTTGTGCTGTTGCAATACATGCCAAATGTGTTTGAGCATGGTCTTGCTGAAATAAGCAAGGTCTTCCTGAAAAAACATCATCCGAATGGCAGCATATGTTGCTCCAAAACCTGTATATATAGTTTAGCATTAATGGTGCCTTCACAGATGCACAAGTCACCCATGCCTTGTGCATTAATGCAACCCCATACCATCACAGATGCTGGTTTTTGAACTGTGCGCTGATAATGAGCTGGATGGTTTCTCTATTCTTTAGCCTGGAGAATGCAGAGTCCATGATGTCCATAAAGAATTTCAAATTTTGATTTGTCAGACCACAGGACGCTGCTGCTGAGGGCCTGAAGATGGGCACATAGAGATTTCTCTGGATTTTCTGACTCATTTAATGATATTTTGTATCATAAGCAAACAAATCCCCAAGCTCTTTGCTATTTTATGTTGAGAATCGTTATCCTGGAATTGTTGCTCTAATTTCCCATGCAGTCTTTCACAGAGTGGTGAACTGCCCCTCTATATATATATATATATATACACACACAATATTGCCAAAAGTATTCACTCACCCATCCAAATCATTGAATTCAGGTGTTCTAATCACTTTCATGGCCACAGGTGTATAAAACCAAGCACCTAGGCATGCAGACTGCTTCTACAAACATTTTTGAAAGAATGGGTCACTCACAGGAGGTCAGTGAATTCCAGCGTGGTACCGTGATAGGATGCCACCTGTGCAACAAGTCCAGTCATGAAATTTCCTCGCTACTAAATATTCCACAGTCAACTGTCAGTGGTATTATAAGTGGAAGCGATTAGGAACCACAGCAACTCAGCCACGAAGTGGTAGGCCACATAAAATGACAGAGCAGGGTCAGCGGATGCTGAGGCACATAGTGTGCAGAGGTCGCCAATTTTCTGCAGAGTCACTCGCTACAGACCTCCAAACTTCATGTGTCCTTCAGATTAGTTCAAGAACAGTGCGTAGAGAGCTTCATGGAATGGGTTTCCATGCCCAAGCAGCTGCATCCATGCCTTACATCACCAAGTGCAATGCAAAGCGTTGAATGCAGTGGTGTAAAGCACCGCCACTGGACTCGAGAGCAGGTGGGGTTGTTTTTCAGGAGTTGAGCTCAGCCCCTTAGTTCCAGTGAAAGGAACTCTTAAGGCTTCAGCATACCAAGAGATTTTGGACAATTTTATGCTCCCAACTTTGTGGAACAGGAGGGGTCATCCTACCCACCCAGAGAGAGCGAGGCCAATTGTGCTCTCTTGGACTCCCAGCTACGGATGGCTGTAGCATCACCAGGGATCGAACTTGCGATCTCCTGATGATAGGGCCAACGCTTAGGCGGTCGCGCCACTCGGGAGCCTGTGTTTGTATGTTTACCGCTTGTTAACTTTTGGCATCCAGAAAGCTGGTGATCTCATCCAATAGGACAACTTGTGGCTGTCTGATCAGAGCTCTGGCAATGCGCTGCTTCTGACTGCTACCAAGAAGGCTTCCTCGTTCACCTACATCTGATGAACAGCACTTATTTAGAATCTTGTTGTTTTCAAGACTACCTTCTTTATTAATTGAGTTTGTGTTGTCAAAATCACAATGTAAAGGCTGTAATGAAACTATGTGACACTTGTTGTAGTTCTGTGCCAACTTATGCTTGCTTATTTAATTGTCATAAGCAACAAATTCAAAGTCTAAGCCTGTGTATTTACCTGTGTCATAACCCTTCTGTAACTCACAGATGAAATCATGAACATTGGCTTTACGAGCTGCTTCCTGGATGCTCTCAAGTGAGCGGTTAGATAGGCCATAGGCAATATTGTCTTGTATTTTACCAGAGAAGAGAACAGGCTCCTGGCCCACCACAACAATCTGCAAAAGAGAATAATTATGAATGTAAGAATTTTGATCAAAATACAAATACAATAAAACAGTTGCTAACAATGAATAAATGCTAGTAGGAGCCTTCATTCACAGCCACATCAGCATTTTAAGATCAACTATTCATTTAAAAGGTCATTCCAACCTAAATTAGAATTCATGTTACTTGTTTTGTTACGCAACCTGTCTAGGGTGTTTCCTGCCTTCCACCCGATGATAGCTGGGATAGGCTCCGGCACCCCACCGCGACCCAGAAGGATAAGCGGTTTAGATGATGTGTGTGTGTGTGTGTGTGTGTGTGTGTGTGTGTGTGTGTGTGTGTTTGTTTGTGTTTCATTACGCAGTATGACGTTGTGTATCATATCCCTCAGCCTCAATAATTTGACAAAAATCACAATTTAGTTTTTATGTTTTTGTTCATTAGTGGTCTCCCACAACAATACCCAGTATACATTATGCAAATATATCATACACCAAGTGGGAATCCCTGTGCTATCAAACAATGCTTGGTGCTAGCCTAGCCACTGATCTATTGGCTAATAAATACAACCAGGCATTGGTATAACTCTTACCTCAGTCATCAAACAAAACTGTAAAGACATTATTTATTCATCAAAAACTGGGCACAACAAGTTTTCATTCTTATAGCCACACGTAAAGAAGCCAAACTGAGACAAGCTATCTAGGTAGCTACCTTGCTATTTTTAGCTTTTAGCTTGTTGTCCTCCTCATCAGATGAGTTATTTCTGTCATTCAAGTAAACCAAGCTTTCCAATGTAATGATTATTTGAAGACAGTTACTACATGACAGCAAGTAGCTGGCTTCCTCCTGCAACTTCCCTATGCGTTCACCAGCTAATGAAAATAAAAAAAAAAATCAAAATAGCCGTTGTAGTTTTTTTAAAAGTTCCTCCAACCCCTTACGATGCGTGATCAGAAGGGACTTCTGCTGGTCTTTATACTGGAAAATCTCACTACTGTGACACTATGCAGAATGTGAGTAGGCATGTTTATAACAGATGTAGCAATGGGCAAACTTTTCATTTTGGCTGGAGTGTCTCTTTAAGTGAAAGCAATAACATGTCAACAACAGGAAGTGCAAATTTGACCAGTGAACAGACTGACATATCAATGGAGCTAGTAGTTAAGACCACCTTTGTCAAGTCAAATCTAGGAAGGCCAAGTCCAAATCAAAGTGAGACGAAGTCAAGACTGAGTCTACATGAGAGTGAAACAAAACCCAAAAAATTGAGTTGTCTTCAAGACCAAACCTTAATTAGTCTTTATCTCCACCCAGTAGGAGTTACTAGAAAATATAAAGAAAGGGTTTTCTTTCCACTAATCAAAAGTATGTGGACAAAAATAACATAATAAAATACCCCTCTTCTACTTACAAACATAAATGTGGTATGGACTAAAATTCAACACCCATTCTGAATAGATGCGACCAAAGCCTGTTTTAAACGAATGCAACCAATGTCTGCTCTAAATAAATTCAACCTGGCCTGCCCTAAATGAATCCACCCCATGCCCACTCTAAACAAATCCAATGAGTGATTGTGCCAGGAAATATAATGAAAATGTGATTCAAAACAATAGCCTATCTGCTTCTGTCTTGTTCTCTTAATTAAGTTAATTCATTTACTTGGCTATTTTAACTAAACCTTGTTTGTAAGCTTTAGCATCAAAATTATACTAAAATATCTCTGATTATTTTCTGACAGACATAAAAAAGTCAAACTCAAGCCTTTAAATTAACAAAACAAACTATTCCAATCAATAATGCCACCCATCTGACATAAATAACCATTTCTGTCCTTTTACCTGTTGAATCATCTGCCTCTTGTTTTTAAACGAGTACATTACAATACAGTACAATACAGTTCACACAGAGAAGTTGTGAAATGGTTCACTTCTACGCAACACTTTACTAGTTTCAATGCCACCCAATCCAATTTTTATAAACACCCTTTTAAATTAAACCTAACATAACTAACCAGATAACTCTGGTTAGCAATACTAAACTGCAGACACTATTAGCTAGCTTGCTATGTGCAAATGTATGCCTTTGCAGTAAATTTAGCAACAGTCAGTTAGAAAAACAGTAGACTAAACATCACAGTTATGCCAGGCTGTCAAATTCAGTACAAACCCATTTACATGAAACAGGCTCACTGTATGAACAAATACTTGATTTAGCTTTCTCAGTTGTGACAGCTGAATCTGGCTACACTACACTTGATTTAGCTACTTCTGCGACTGAATGCTTTAAATTACTTCTGATTTAACAGCTAAAATAACAGCGAATAATCTAAGATATATGTTATATATGAGTATAATGATACTGAAATAAAACTCTTTATGTAGTTAAAACATCACAAAATAGCAGAAATGAACTAACCAAAACATGGTCGTGAAATCAGTAGAAAGATAAAAAGAGGACAATTTAAACACACAATACTCATGCTTCTCACCAGCAGGTACGCTGCCCTGACCGTGTGCCGAGTCTTTAGATTATGGGTGTCCATCAACTGCTCATTATAACAACATGAGGTCATGTATCACCATGGTTTACCACATTGAATGGTTTAATGGATAAACCAGAGCTCAGCTCTGTTTGCCTTTTAGGTGAATAAAGGCTGTATCTCTGCTCTAGTGCAGTTGAACCCCTGAGCTTGAGTGCAAGTCAGCATGCACTGGTCACAGTTCAAAGAAAGAAAATTATTTTTAAACGGTATTTGGACTTGGCTGAGACTGGAAAATATATTTGGCGAGACAGGTGGTCCAGACTGAGACAAGTCCGACTACAAATACTACTGAGTCCAAAACAATTCCGAGGTGATAAAAAAGGTACAGAGACCAGACTTCAGTACTACAGCTCTAGGAGTTACTACTAAAACAGCCACACTCAAATTAGAATTTATGGTGGGTTTCCAGGCTTTTTCTCAAAATCCTCAGATCACATCAATACAAAATTCCATATTCGGATGTCTTCTATAATCCAAAATGTTAAGAAATTTTTATAAAATTTGTGGAGTACAATAGCAATTGTTTCCAACAATATGATGCAATATGATGCAAGTACAAGTATCTTACCTTGCTGTGCAGATACTTGTGCTGGTAGTTCTGTAGAGGTTGTCCGTCCAGTAAGATCTGTCCATGCTGGGGGTCGTAGAACCTCTGCAGTAAACTCAGACAAGTAGTTTTTCCCCCACCAGAAATCCCTACCAGTGCAGTCATTTGACCTGGTTTTAGCTCGAAAGAGAAGTCCTGAAACAATGACATCCAGGATCTCATAATGGATGACACATCAATTGACACATTTTTTGTTCCAAAATGTGCTTCATAGATTGCATATTAGCATGTTTATTATGTTCATGTATGTAACAGAAAGAGTGTGAAACTTGCTCATGAATCTTATTTTCAAGAAATGCTTATGAATCTTATTTAGGATGAACTGTCGGAAATTACTCAAATGTGCTGCAACTAATAATAATAAAAAAAGCAAATCAAATCTTCTGCCCTGTGATCTTGTCATAAGGTTAACTGAACATCAGCTGATCTAAGAGCTGTACCTTTAGCACAATGTGGTTGGGCAGTGTTGGATAGGAGAAGCTGAGATTTTGAAAGCACACATGTCCTTTCAGCTTCTCTGACTGAAGCGTCCCATCAGTGCTCACTTCAGGCTTACGGTCCAGGTACTCAAACACCTTCCCTGCTGCACCCACACAGTTCAGCATGTCTCTAAATATGTAAATCAAGGTCTGAGAACAATATAGCAGAAGAACTTTTTGCAGGTTGTTATCATAAAACTTGCAGCTTCTGAAGTCTTCCACCTTTTTTCCTTAGGTACAGTCAAAAGTAGACATACCCTAATGTTGTCCCCCAGGTCTGACTGGTAGAGGATGAATGATACCAAACTACCTGTGGTCATCTGTCCATATTGGATAAACAGCCTGCCATAGTGTAGCATAGCCACCTTCACCCCGAGCTCCACCAGCTGAAAATGACACATATAAATAGAAATACAACTTCACATACAAATATATTCAGTGGGAAAGAAAGGCCTGAGATTAGCGAACTTTCAATAAAGTCATGATAAAAAGCTACAGTGTTCAATATTGTGAATACTCTGAATTCATACACTGATTTAAGTTGTAGACTAAGAAATTAGAATTAAGGCATGATGAATGACTTTAATGTTTCAATTATGCAGAACCTTTCCTTTACCCTTTAAAGGAAATAAATAATTATAATGAAATAAAAGAACAAAACTACAAAAACAATGGAGGCGCTTAATTTCCTACTTACCCATCTCACCAGCAGATACACTGCCCTGACTGTGTCCCGTTGAGTCTTTAGACTATGAGTGTCCATCAACCGATCATTATAATGACAAGACTCACTCTGCTCTGAGTTAAAGCTCTTTACTGTTCTGATGCCTGACGCCGTCTCCCCTGCAGCATCATTGGCTCTTGCCATGGAGTCCTGCTCCTCCTCTGAAGTCTCTAAAATAAACATGAACAAGCAATTTTCTCCTGTTTCATAGCTGGTTTTGAAATCTTTAAAAAAGTAAAAGGCATTCTGTAGCTGCCTAGCTGCCTAGCACAGTATAAATACATTCAGCAAAATGTATTGTGTATTGTTTATGCTGGAGAACACTCATTTAGAGGGTTATAGGTGCTTGTGCGCTGCTGAAAATTACATAGTCAACATTACAAAGTCAACATTACCTAGGGTTTCATCCAAATGGTTGTGTCACCAAAGTTATGAACTCTCTAGTCCTTTAAAACCATGGGACACATCTTTAACTTACTGACGTCATGTGACGTCACTGCCAACATGTGGTCACTAAGTTGTCTTCAATAATGATAGAAAAATACAAACCTCAATTCCAAAAAAGTTGGGACAGCATGTGAAATGCAAATTAAGAAAGGAGTAATTTGTAAATCTACTCAAACAGCATAAAATCCAACAGCTTAAAAACAACATTCCTCAATGAGTGATTGCAAGGATTTAGGGGATATTTCTATGGTGCATAATATCAGCAAAAGTTTTAAGGAACCCAGATGTCTCTAAAAGGGCATCGCCGAAAAGCTGAATGCCTGCAATTTTCAATCCCACAGACAGCACAGTATTTAAAACCGGAATGCTTCTGCAGTGCAAATCATCACACAGGCTCGAGAATACTTTAATAAATGGTAAATGATAATGGTTCAGTGTATCAAAATTTAAAACTCCTTGTTCTCCTTCAGTGTCTCTCATTTTCTGTCTTTCATGAAAACCTCTGTCAATGATTAAAATTAGGTATCTAGTTGCATCATATCAGAGTAAAGTGGGCACGGCTTATGATATGGAGAAGATTGGGTTGTGTTTTTGAAGAGCTTATAAATTTTATGGGTTGTAATCAAACCAGTCAGTTTAATATATAATTAGAGCTCTGTAACACAGACACTTTTAACGCACCAAATATTGAAAGTAAAATTGAATCTTAACCTCAGAATAAACAATAATCATCTCTAAATTGAAAATATATTCATCAATACAACCCTTTCTGTCCTGTGCGCATTGTGCAAACATTAACACATATTTAGGCACTCGTTATTGCTGTATCAAAACATGTATTGCATCAGGACACCAATGTACTGTATCAAATTAAACTTAAACACTTTGTTGCTGCATCCACAAATACAGGACCATACTATGCACATCGGAAGCCATGTCATCTGGAACCAACAACTCTAGGCTCAAGCTGAAGATGAGATCAGAGAGCTGTTAAACTGGCCTGCCTGCAGTCCAGACTTATCTCCTATTACAATTTTGAAGACTTGCATTACCAGATGAACGGCAAAAAAAATCCATTTTTTGGAATGTTACAGCAATCAAATTTAGAATGAGCATACATTTCAGAGAAAAAAACAATAAACTTCATAAGGTCAAACATCCACTATCGTGATTTTGCACTGTTGTCAGATCAAACAGAATCAATCACTATAAAAAATATTAATCAGTTCAGCCTAAAAATACTTCCTATGCTAACAAGTTAACTAGTTTTATTAAACTCAAAAAATACCTCGGAGTAACTACTGTTTAAGTCAAAATATTTGAGATGAATTAAACTAGTTCAGTTGCTGGTTAACACATTAAGTATTTTTTTAGGTTAAACTGAGTGTTCACACAGTTGCTTTCTGTTGTTATTCACATACTATCCCAACTTTTTTTGAATTGAGGTTTTTTAAGCTTTGTGTCTCTTTGAACTGAAATGCACAAGCTTAAGTTTTGATGAATCTATTTAACCACTGGATGTATTATTGTTACGCTTATAACTACTATTACACTCTTCCTTTCATTCCATATGAGTAATTACTGGAGCTGGCACCAATCTGATACCATGTAGAAATGCAGAAGAAAATGCTGGATCAGATATAGGAGAGAAAAAATGTTTTGATATTGGCATTGGTAACAGAAAGGAAAAAGTAATATCATGCCATCTCTAGAAATTATCAATCAAAATATTTTATACTTCCTTCACTGTAAATACCCTACACAAATTCTGAATCAAAGCAGACTCTTATTTAAAAAAGTAAGAGGTGATAAGTGTCCCAGAAACAGAGCCACCCACCGATTTTAATGGCAGGTACTTTGCCGATATAAAGATTGTAATGACCTCTAGATCACCAAAAACAAATGTTAGCAGTTTTCTTTTAAAGAATCATAGATGTTCTGTAACAGGCCGGTTAAAGGTGTCTCCATCAGCATCAGTAGTGTCAGCTTCCAGGAGAGGGTAAACATCAGGTACAGCATGCCTATTGTTTTAATCAGAGTTCGTAGAAGGACATTCACATTTAAGGCTACAGCTCGGGCCATCAGAGTGGTGTCTGTGGACTGTCTGGATGTAATGTCACCTGTAAGAAAATTTGTAACACCACAAGGTTTGCCAAACGTCAATGCATTGAAATGCAAATGATGTGCTGTTTATGGCCATGTCACACTGCTTAAGGAGTGAAGCTCCATGTTAGCAGGAGTTTGATAGCACATAAAATATCATAATATGACTTGCTAAAATCAGTGTCAGCACCACAAGAAAGCAGATTCCATACAAAGACTCTATTTTTGGGGCTTGTTGCTTTAAAGACTCTACACTTAATTCAAAAATTATGGAAAACCAATTTTTGTGTCTTTTAAATGATGTACGATTAACGTCCCTAATGAGAACATAGAAACCATTAAGAGTTTCTGTTGGTTCATGGGGGTTTGTAATGCGTTTTGGCTTTTCTTGATGGGTTGATAATGTAAAGGAACGATTTAGCAGGTGACCTAGTGACTGATTCCAGATAAATTTCTAATTCTACTTGGAAACTAGTGGTCTGTAATGGTAACCATTAGGAGATCCTAATGGTCTTTATTCAGCAGGGGTTACTGTGGTGCTGCCAGCTTGTGCTACCGTGGTGCTGCCAGCTTGCACGATATAACTCTGGCAAGGTTGAGTATTACTGACTATCAAGCAACTATGTGCTTATTTTCCATAAGTTTTAAGGTCGTAGTAAAATGTTAATGTAACAGTAACTTACCGACATCATAATCTGTAATGAAAGCACTCGCACGGTGTTTTAGGGCCACTAATAAAAATAAAAATAGTAGACTTTGAGAATAAAGTCGTAATATTTCGTGACAAAAGTCGCATTTTTAGAATAAAATCTTAATATTTTGAGAAGAAAGTCATAATATTTAGATGATAATATATTACGATATTAATTACGACATTAAAGTGGGATATTACCAGAAAACGTATGCAGTAATGTGACCAAAGGCTTTGCAAAGGCAGCACCTGGTGTTAAATTAGGGGTGTTGAGTTGTTCGAGTTATACTTTCATATCGATTTGACCCATAAAGAAACACTCAGTCTCCCTGTCTCTCCTGCACATCAGCACCAGCCTGTTATTAGGATAAGAAACGGCTGAAATGGCTGAGCAGGAAACTGTGTTCATCTAGAATAAAGAGCCAGACGGACTCGGAGGAAACTGTCTGTGTTTTGTTGAAGGAGAATCGCAGGCAGGGTCGTCTACACGGCTATCGGGGGCTACATCTCCACACCATTCAAAGAGGGCATGGAGTTTCACAGACAGTGAGCATGATAATCAAAATAATCGATACACAAGAAACAGGAGTGTTAAGAAATCCGGCGCGCTCGGCGTCCTCACCGTCGCCTGTACAGCAACCGAGACCCCATGGCAGCCCCCTACACTTAGCACTTAATCCTCGAAATATCGCGATTTTACTCTCGTAATTTTACGTCTTTAATCTCTAAATATTACGACTTTATTCTCAAAGTCTACTATTTTTATTTTTATTAACAGCGGCCCTAAAACACCGTCGTAGTTCTGTGTACTCAGCAACGTTACTGTGCCTTTCACTCCAAAGCCCACCTGCCCCTGACGTCACGAGAGGGAAGAGAAGCTTCACTCTACAAATGAAACTCCCAATAGCACACTTGAAGAGGCCTCCTGGGTAGGCTGCACTGAAAGAGCTTAATAGAAAATTTTATTGGTTAGGTTACGGTTAACGTAACCAAAGGCTATTGCATGTTGTGTAGTGAATACAGAGCGGCTTAACTCTAAAGGAACACAGGTAATACACCAAACTGTGTCCAGTTTGTTTTACTGACCTTCCAAAAGAGAACAATATCATGAATATTACTGCATGCATAAACCTTCGCTAGCGGAAAGTTTCCAAAAAGAATTAAGTGACCCGTTTCACGCAGTCCTATAAAACAGTGAGCTAAAATCCATCGCTTCACCACCGGCCCTTTAGCGTCCTCACACAAGAGGAAGACTGCGTACAGAAATACCCATCGCACTACAGACTCGAGCCATTGTCTTAGCAGCTTATCACTAGCGCGCAAACTCTTTGCCCGAAAACTGCCTACAAAATCCAGCGCACAGATTATGATGAAGTCCATACATACTGTTAAAACGAAAACCAGAACATTTCGTATATTTTACTGACCGATGAGAATACTGTCGAGAGCTACACACCAGACTACGATGGCGAAACGTCGTTTGAGCGTCTAAACACTGTTAAGTGCATTCAAAGAAATGTAGTTGTCTTCGTTTTCACGGTTAGCTGACTGCTACTGAAAGCATTCCCCGCCTTTCATTGAACTCATGTCAGGCAAAAGGTTTACCCGTATAACTTCTTCTGAGTTTCATGTTCTTTCAGTTTTATTTTCACTGCCTACAAGGGGGATTCCTCTTCACCAGAGCTTTGTCAACCCCGGCCCCCCACCACAAAGACACACATTTGAAAGCCTACTCATGACAACATGACAACAACAACAATTTTAAAAGACAACTGATTGGTTTTGTCACTTAAAAACTCATCCTCTTTCTGTTAGCAGCCACTGAGGAGAACTGTCTCAAACCTATTCATCTTGTGTTTACCTAGCAACAGATTAGTCATACTTAAAGACAAAGTAACGCTTATACAGCCAGCTTGAACAGAGCAGCTGTGGCGGTACGCTGCTTCTAACCACTCGCGAGACAGCTTCCTCATTCGTTTAATTTTATTATTTTTATTTATTTTTATAAGTTTTCTTTACTGTGTTTCCTCATTTAGCTCAAATACAACTTAAATGTGTCTTAATTAAGTTTGATATAGTATGGAAACATTACAACAGTTTTAAAACGTACCATTCACTCCTCAGTATATACAGTCCATATATGGAAACTAAAGTGCAAAAACAGCCTATTTTGAAAGTGTTGTTTCTGTGGTGCAATCTGCCTACTGCCTGCAGCAGTTTTGTCTGCCCAATCACGTTTAAGTTATAACGAAGTTTCAGCTTGAACTTTTTTGAATGAGGCACAATATAGGGCAACCAATCAGAACAGAGTTCATTTACATATATCAGTCTTAAAGGAGAGGTTAGTTAACTGCACAGGGAAAATAACTTACAAGAAAGTATAAAACAGCACTGTAAAATACATCAGTTAATGTTGAAGGTTCTTCATATTCCTCAATTGATACATTCATGAAAACTGTCTATTCTATAACATGCCTGAGTTTGGCTACTGTAGTGAAGTGATTGTTTAATAATGATTAAAAAAAGATTACAATTTCAAACTTTTTTTACAGTGCTTATTTGTTGTGTTGTAAATTCAATTATATATACAATCATGAGTAGAGAGTTTCTCTTTCAGTGTATAGTAGTGTACTTTCTTTCCCATCACTTTCTGGTGAGTGCCTTTCTCCAGCACTGTCCCCTGGTAGATCACAATGATCTGGTCTGCCTCCTCACTGGTCTTCAATCTTTGTGCAATCACCATTAGGGTCTGCTTGGGGCAGTTGACGAGGGCTACTTGAACCTGTAAAATGTTTTGTTTGTAACAAGTTCTATTACACTTATTACAATTAACACTGTTTTCACTACACAGTGCGGTGTGTATATCTGTGTTTGCATGTTTACTGCTTATTGACTTTTTGCATCCAGAAAGCTGGTGATCTCATCCAATAAGAGAACTTGTGGCTGTCTGATCAGAGCTCTGGCGATGGCAATGCACTGCTTCTGACTGCTACCAAGAAGGCTTCCTCGTTTACCTATGTCTGATAAACAGCATTTGTTTAGAATCATGTTTCTATTAAGTCTCCTCATCAAGGAGACAAATCTACATTGAGTTCATGCTGTCAGATCTATTGTAAAATTCTGTGACACATGCTAACATAACATAGCATTAGTCTTACAAGCTGCATCCTGAACAATCTCAACTGAGTAGTGTTGTTGTAGGCCATAAACAATGATGTCATATATTGTACCAGAGAAGATAACAGGCTCCTGGCCCACCGCAGCAATCTGTAAAATACGACAGTTTTGAATAAGTATAATTAAAATGTATTTTCATGGAATATTAACGAATAATGAATAATGACAATTGCACACAATCAGGCCTCATGTAGCTTGAAATGTTAAGAAACTGCTTTATAAGAAGATGTAACCAAAAATCAGAAGACATTTTTTAAATGCACACACACACACACACATACAATCTAAGTCGCTTATCCTCCTGGGTTGCTGGGGTTGCTGGAGCCTATCCCAGCAGTCACTGGGTGGAAAGCAGGAAACACCCTGTACAGGTTGCCAGTCCATCACAGGGCAGACACACACACACACACACACACACATTTTCTAAACCACTTATCCTTCTGGGTCATGGTTGGGTGCTGGAGCCTATCCCAGCGGTCACTGGGTGGAAGGCAGGATAAGATTCAAGATTCTTTATTGTCATTGAGTGTTCAACGAAATTGGGTAGCAATCCTAACAGTGCATAAACAAAAAAATTAAACTACACTGTAAAAACAAGAACTTGAAATTGTTCGCCTTAATATGACTTTTAATTCAACTGAACAAAAAATATGTAATTGAGCCATAAACTATATCAAAGTAGCTGACTCAACTAACGTTATTAAGTTTCTTGTTAAAAGTTGGCCTCACTATGTAACCTCTGTCGGCAAAATATACAAATTGTATTTGAACCCTAGTTGAGGCCAGACCAACTACCTTGAGCATGCTCATTTTCACTTAGTTGAACGGGGTCTACAGAGCAATTCCGCTGGAATTTTCGTCCACCATTTTGAAACTGATTTACCACCTGGCAAGGATCACTTTGGTACTACTGATGTGAACCTTCCAACGTCCAAATGGTGAGTGTTTTGATTAAATAATATGTAGAAATTCTACCTTTGCCATAATTACTTGTTTAAATTTTTACTTAACAGGTCGTGCTTCGGATATGCAACGCAGCGCCGTGGCTTCCAGTAAGTTAACGCTAACAGTGAGCTAGCTATGGAGGAGCAGATTTGCCAAAATGAAAAATAAATAAAATTAAAAATAAATGACTTAAATAAATGATGTAAATTAATATATATGAAGTAGAATTGCAAAGAATAATGATGATAAATCTAAAAATAAATAAATATACATAATTAATATATTAATAATTAAAATCTTACATAAATTAATATATCTGCATTTATTTATATGTCTGTTCAGTAATTTACCCTTGTCACTAATTTTTGCATTTATTTATTTTTTTGTTATTTATATGTTTCTTTATTAACATTTTTTCTGTTTTTCTATGAATTTATTTTATTAATTTATTTCCATAACTATTAATTTCTATATTTATTTATTTCTCTATTTATTTCTGTATTTCCTTGTCCTTATGCTAATAAAGGGGTTGTCAGTCAATGATGTCACAGCGTCTTAATATTCCTATTGGTTGATCGATGTCAGACTCTGTAGATCGATTGTACATGTCTTGCTCTCTCAGCAGTAACTAAGGACAAGACAGTACAATAATGGCTTCTTACAGCAGCAAACAATCAGAGATCAGAGAGTCTCGGCTGATCTGGCTGAAAATGCAGGTCTGGATTATTCACTCTTCCGTTGGAGGCTGACGGGACAGTTTGCTCCATTTTGCTGCCTCTGCTGATACAGAGGTCGACCCCGTAGTGTTCAGAACTTTGGAGGAGGTGGTTCATCGTCTTTTCCTGCAAAATTCAGATCACTCAGACATTCGGACGCCCTTCTCACATATGGCCTGTGGAAGCCATCGAGAGTTATTTATCGGCAGGTTTGTCTGTCCGTGCGGTTGTTTATGGAGTTGGTGAAAGAACAGTTTAATCAGCTCTTCTCCTCCTGGTCTTGATTGCTAAGCCTGAACGTCATTTCTGTGTGGAGTTTGCCTGTTCTCCCCGTGTCTGCGTGGGTTTCCTCCGGGTACTCCGGTTTCCTCCCACAGTCCAAAGACATGCAGACATGCTGAATTGCCCCTAGGTGTGAGTGAGTGAGTGTGTGTGACTGTGTATGTCTGTCTGTCTGCCCTGCGATGGACTGGCGACCTGTCCAGGGTGTATCCTGCCTTTCGCCCTATGACAGCTGGGATAGGCTCCAGCACCCCACCGCGACCCAGAAGGATAAGCGGTTTAGATAATGTATGTATGGTCCTCCATACTAGCTCGCTTAGTTATTTCGCAAACGTTATTGCTAACATTGACTTAATTGGCAAACGTAATTTTTAATGGTGAGTATGAAAATTTTCATGACTACATATACAGTACACTGGTTAAACCCCCCGGACCCCGGTGAGTGGTAACACTTAAGTTTTTATCTGGTAATACACACGCCGCCGCCAGCTAGCTACATTGCTAGCAGCTACGGTGACTTAGCACTGCTGCCGAAGCACCGCTCGCCAGGGTCTGGACGTGTAATGTTATCTCTGTCATGTGAATTGAGTCGCCAAGATTTTTTACCGCGTTTAAAATCTAACGTAAACTGTGTTTCGGACACTGAAATGTGCTCAGGTTTACAAGCCTAGCAAGCACCATGGCTGCTAGTTAGCATTCAGCAAACGTTAAAAACGGGGGTCCTCAATTAGCGGACTCCGGGCCAGGTCCAGCGAACCTACCCGAGCACGTGCATATCATTAGTTTTGCGTTGTAACTCAGTGTATTAAATGTTTTACTGTGTTTTTAATGTTAATTCAGTACAGACTCAGCTACATTTTCCTAATTACGATTTAGTCGAGGCTGAAGTCAGTTTCTTATTCGTCAGCTTCTTCGAATTTTCCCATTCCACCTTAAATGGTGTCTGTGCCTAAGGCTCTAAAACGTATCTGCTGCACCATTTAAGGTGGAATGGGGAAATTCGAAATGGCCTGAGGCACAAAATTATATCTACTGCACCATTTAAGGTGTAACAAGAAAATTCGAATAAGTAGCTAACTTCAGCTTCGTGTGATTTAGGCTATCAAAATATCCTACCTACAGTTTTATACAGAGCTCTACCTGTAAATTTGCGCTATGGTAGGACATTTCGACAAGGTAGCGCGATTCGTCCCCATAGCGTGCTTATTAAAGCAATATACCACTCGAGGCCGTGTGTTACTGCGATTTTATAATGGGAAAGGGTGCTGTTACGCGCGGTAGTATCGTTGCCAAGCAATCATGGACTGTTGAATGAGGAGAACAATATTCAGCCATTGTATACTGCGGTCATTTATTTAACCTTTTAACTTTTTGTCGCATAATAATGAATATATGACAACATAGCACTGTTTAGTGTGAAACCTTCGCTTTCTAAGTACATTTTGGTTACCAAATTACCACCGTGCGTGTTATTTAGCACCAGACTAACGGCACCCCTCTTCTCACGCTGGGGCTGAGCCTCAAACGGCTCCCTGCTCCCTACATAGTGCACTAGGTAGGAATTTAACGCTGGCTCCTGCACCCAAAGACCACAAAATATAGCTAAAAAATAGTCATCTGGGAATCAGCCTCATCCATACTCAACAAATGGTCCACGCTTTCACTGTTGAAACTAGAATTTCGAAACTTATATATCACACTATTTAGGGAGTACAGAGCCGTTTGGGATTCTGCCTGGGTTTGATGCTACTTCTGACTGAAACACAGACATCTGAAGCGTGTAAGACATTCAGGTGGCATTTTTTTAGACTTTTACATTGCAGTTTTACCGTGAATCATATTGTAAGTGCTTTACTTCAAGCCTGTGATATTAATGGTGGAGTTGTTTAGGCTGTTAGCTATCTTTAAGCCTGTTAGCTAGCTGACCAGCCTAGTTCTAGTTAAGCAAGTAAGCTTTCACCCCGTCAGTTTGAACAAAAAAACGGGTTCTTACTTCATCAGTACACTCGGTAGTCAATGCGAGCAGAATTAATGTCAGAGATTATTCCATTAACAGCACAAGGATATTTCATGCCGTGGCGCAGTAATACAGAGTTCAGTTGTTGTGAGGCAGCCATAGCTGTGTGTATTTAGAGCATTTTACAACAGCCTTGACCGCGGTTCAGCCAATTATATTTTAGACTGGAACCATCCGTTTAATAAAAGAGAAGTTAATGGTACTGTCAATGTAGAGTGGACAGACATATGTATTTGTTCTTACCCCAGGGAGTAGCCTACCGGGCTCATCTGCCTGATAAGTTGTGAAACTATTGATGATAAAAAGCAGTAATTTGAAACAACAGTGAGTACCCGCACTTTGAGGAAAGATACCAGCCAAAAGTGGTGACGGCACGAAAATGAATAAAAATTAAAGATGAACTGTATAAAAAAATAAAAAATAAAGCAGTTCCCAATGTCAGCTACAACAGCAACAATAACTGAAATAATAGCAGAGGATGTCCACAGGATAAAGAACTAACCTCGTTCTGAAGAGAACTGAAGTGAGCAACGTATTTTTATTTTATTTAATTTAATTCTCATTCTCATTGCAGTTATTCTATGAAGTGCAGGTTGTGCAGTTTTGTCAGCTCGAGTCAAGAAGATCTATTGAGGCACCATCGACTACAACACCGAAGAGGAGCTCACTGGCCCTGTGTCTACAGTGACTGTGTGTGTACCTTCAAAACACCTGCCGCATTAAAATCACATCTCACCAGGTCGCATTGCAAAACTGTAAAAATGCAGGAGACATCAACCTTCCTTTGTGATTTATGTTAATTTAGAGAAATTTACACTCAGCGCACCTTTTTCACTCATCTTGGACATCATTCTGAAAATGAAACCTGTGCCATTGAAACTCATCCCATTGACCAGCCATTAAATAACTTTTTTGAGGTAGAGAAATTACAAAGTGGTTCAAGTCGAGATTCAGGTGACAGTGGAAGGAATGAGTATGTAGATGCTGAGACTCTTGAACATAAAATTGCATCTCTTTTTCTGTGCATGCAAACAGTATGGCACGTTTCTAAAAGTGCTGTTCTTGGAAAAAGTGTTGATGTAAAACTGTTTGGGTATGATGCATTTCTTTATCCACTGATCAAGGTTATA